ATTATAGACTTTTTGTTAGTTTAAAGGCTCAGCAAATTGACAGTTGTATATAGAAAAGAAGTTTTTGAACTATTCATTAAAGTGCTCAAGAGAGTTTTTAAGAGATAGGATATTATAGACTTCTAAAAAAGTAGATTTTGTTATATTAAAAAGAAGTTAAATATTAAATTTTTTATCAGATTTGATAGTTAGATATTTTTCTTCTTTGTCAGTAGTTACTGTAGAAGAGTTAATAGTAAAGCATTTAGGATTAAAATTAAAATCATCAGCAAATTTTTTGTAATCAATTGCATGATAGTTATCTGATTGATAAAGGTGAATACGAGCTAAGTTAATACAAAATTGTATTCAGTTTTTGGTTTTGTAGGAAGGGATTATTAGAGGAGAAGCAAAGATAGAACCATAGTTAAGTTTAATAAATAAAATGGTTGTAAATTTGTGGATAAGTTTTTTGAGAGTATTTTCAAGTATATTGAATGGAATAGTTGTGTTAGGATTAATATTAGAATTACTTTATAAGATAAAGTCAGTTAAAAATTTTAGTTAAGATTTGGTCATTATGCGAATAAGTTGTTTGAAGATTGCTTTTGAAGCTTTTTGAGTTAAAGTAGCTGCTTTAATTTCTTTTTCAGGATAGAAGTTATGTAAGTAGTTTTTGAGAAAATTAAACAAATTATAAGAGAGAGTAGTTTGAAGTTTAGTATTTGCTTCTATGTTTTCAGTAATTGTATAATTTTTAATCTAATCAAAGGTTAGAAGTGGTTTAGTAGATTTTTCTTTAGTATTTTCATTAGTTTCTATTTGACTAGATTGTTTATCATTTTCATCTTCGATTGTTGTTTTAGAGATATTATCCTTTGTTTGGTTTGAGATTAATTTAGATATAGTAGGTTTTGGAAAAATAGTTTTGAAGAGCACAATTTTTTCTTTAGAAGATATCTTAGCTATTTTCATAGCTATAAGAACTGATTTTTGTTTTAATATAAGAGGAGAATTTTGAGGTTTAATTGTAAGTCTAATATCCCAAAGTTTGGGAATGCAGTTGTGATATAAAAGGTAATTTTTAAAGATTATACACTGAGTATAGTCAGATGTATATTTGGTATCAACGAGGTAGATACATAAAATAGATTTTTGTTTGCAACAAAGACAAGTATAGTGATATTGAGAATAGAGAGTAATTTCAGCAAGTGTTGAATTATATTGAAATTTGGAAAGAGGATTTTAGGATTTGTAGTTGGTTGTTGTTATTGTTATTGCTGTTTTAGAATAGGTTAGGTTTGCAATTCATTAGTAATTCTATTAAAGTATTTTGCAGAGATAATTAGAGATATTTCTATTGGAGCTATTCCTAGAATAGTTTGAAAAGAAATTTTATAAAATTGGAAAGTAAAGTTTGTATAGTATTTGCTACAAAGGTATGTAGTGAGTTGAAGTTGAGTAGGAACTTTAAAGTAGTAATGTTTTTTAGTTGAGCTAGTATCACATGTTGTTATATTAATATCCACAGGTAAGATATGTAAGGTTTTAGGTTTAGCTTTAGTCATCACAATACTATGATGATCTCTGCATTTGGAATAATAGTAGTCAATATTATAAGAGTCTGGCTCTTCAGAAATAAGAGAAAGCATGTTTAGAATATTCTAGAATTGAAGAGATTATAGTAAACTTCAAGATAAGCTAAAGTTTGTTTCATGTAATATTATGCAATTGGTACTACACTTGTGACAAGTATAACAGTTATGGCTAGTGTAGCTAGTGTGGCTGATGTAGTACACAGGTGATATATATAACTTTACTATAAATAGTAAAGCTTAAAATAGTTAGAATTAAAATTAGAATTTAAATAAAAATAGAAATATATATTTTTAGAAACTAAAATTAGTTATCAAGATTTGTAATCAAATTACAAATCTTTTATGCAAGAAAATTTTGTACCAAATTAATAAGAACAGATTTGGTAATATGAAATTTATGTAACAGTTACAATTTTGTACTAATTTAGTAAGGAATTGTGTAACAGATATTAAAAAAAGTTTTGGGCAAAAGTAAAACTTATAGGTATTTTTAAAAGCTGTTTAAGACTCTAAAGAGCTTAATTTTTGTGCTAGAAAGATGATTTAAAGCTTGTTATGATCAGAAGATACTGACCAACAACTTTATATAAGAGCATAAGAGAGGTTTAGAAGCTAATTTAAAATTATTTAAGGATTTTGCTACCTTTAGTTTTATGAGTATAACTCTGCTTAAAAAAAAGCGAGAGTTATAAATCTAGACTGCTAGAGTGTGAAATTATGTATGAAGCAAGTTTACTTAAGGTTACTTGCTTGGTTTACTTAATAAAATTTTAAGAAATTTTGGTTTTGTTGAAAAAATTTTTAGGAAAATTTGATACAAGTAATCTACAGATTAAGTACGCTCGTATTATTCCTCTCTTAGAATTTATTAAATATCTTGTTTATTTATATTATTATAGTTTTTTCATTATTTTAGTATATAGTTATTTATTTGTAATTCATCCTGCTCATGCTCTTGTTTATATTTTAGAACTGTAGTAGCTACGCGTATAAGTATAATGATAAGCAGTTGAGGCAAAAGTAAAACATTAACATGAGCAGTTGAAGCTATAAATTAGTAATATAAGCAGTATAGCTTTATATTATCTTGGTATAATACAACTACTCATGAAGAAACAACTGCTTATGAAGAAATTAACAACTACTCATAAAGATCTGAGTAATATAATCATATATAATTTACTTAGTATAGCCTTCATGAACAAAAATACATAAAAATAGGTCCTTTTTGCCTTTTCAAATACACAGTTATAAACTACAAATTACAAATAAAATTAATCAATTAAAAACAAATTCATTATTACCTTAAGAATTCTGAATCCTTAAGTTCCAAATATAAAACTTTGCTAATTAAATAATTGATTCTTCACTATATTTTTTTATTTATTTATTAAAGTATATATTGTATCTCTAGATTAACATAAAGAAAGTAAGTATTGAGACTGAATAGATATTTCACTGAGTAACTAAAAGCTGTATTCTTAATAAGTTATATAGGAAGTAAGTCATGTGTAGAACTATTGTTTAGATTGTTAAATAGAATTAGTAATTATTTGAACATTATAATTGTTTAACTATTAGTATTGTGATCAATGCTTAGATCATATTTAAGTTATTAGTTTTATTATATTACATTTAATAGTAAAACTATCCTTATAGATATAATACCATTCTAATTCACTCTTAAAGTATTATCTCTTCTGATTAACAACTATCAATTCAAATATAAATAACTCACCAATATTACTTATCCTTATAGTAATTAGACTATTAAACCTAGTATCATGTTAACTATCAAAGCTAAACTATGCACTGTCAATGAAATGGTTGTTAGTAAAATAATACAGATCTGATATCAAGTAAGTGATATGTAGGGAAATAGCTTTACTGTAACCCTCTAAAAGTAGCTATTTTTAATCTTCAGATTATCTTGCTAATTTCCAAGTTACTTTAATATCTTTTAGAGAAAAAGTTATAGTTTCTGAATTTTTATATTACAACTTCTGCAAATTCATATTTGTGATGAATTCATTCTCATAATTCTCATGATATTATAAGATGATCTACAAAAATCAGATAATCTATATATAATCTGAAACTTTCAATTAGCTTTTTGATTAGCTATAGATTAGGAGATAAAGATCTTAAAATAAGGCTCAATGATAATTAAGCTTTTAATTAATATTGTTTATTAACAATTATTCTGATTAATTATAAAAAAAAGGTGATAAAGATCTAAAGATAAAGTTCAGTATAAATAAAATTATTTTCGTTGAATATCTAAACATTATATATGAAAGTAAAAACTGCTCATGCAATCTATTAGTAGCTATGTTGATTATATTTTTTATCCTAGTTATATCTATTTACTTTAATTAATCAATATGCAGATTAAAATTATTAAGATTATATATCTATTGTTTTCAAAATCATATTATATTAAAAGCTAAATATATAGATCATATAGGCTGTCATCAATAAAGATCAGGCAGATTGATATTTTTAAGAGAATAGTAAATTAATTTTTAAAGCTTATATTTCGATGAATTCTAATATTATTTTAGTAATTTAAGGTATTTTTATAATTTAAAAGTGAAAACAAAGCTCAAGTCTTAAACTTTATTTTGACTCTTAATTTATTAAATATTCATTAAGATATGAGCTTTTAAAATTAGAGTATTGTTTTTTTTTAAAAATGTTAATTTGCCTGATTTCTATTAATAGCAACCTATATTAATATAATTAATTGAGTAGATCGAATCTTCATTTCTAATTTTAATTAAATATTGAATAATCTTATAATAAAATTGCTTTTTACCAGTTTCTAATAAATAAAGATATGATAAAGCCTCAGAGTATTTTGTTAATTAAACAAGTCAGAAAAAAGAATACAATATATTCTAATTTTTGCTTTAGTAAATTATTATTATTTTTTTCTAAAAATACAACTTAGTGTATTATAAGATTAGTCTATATTATCTATCTCTATTATTATTATAATATGTAAGCCTATAGTTGAAGCCTTGTATATTCATTTATGCTATAAGATACAATACTCGATTTGATAAATAACTTTGCTACTAGATCCTAATGCACTAAAATTGTACTCGACTTTGTTATTATATATAGATGAAATTATCTTAGTAAATAGTAATTAAAAAAATAAATAAATAAATCAGTTTAAATCATTTTAAAATTCTATTTATTAACTTATGTATTTAAAACTCAAATATATTATTACTTTTTAAAAATTTTAATAAACTAATTTTTAATAAAAAAATATCAATATAAATAATACCCTATTATTTAGATACTATTATAAAAATTAAGTACACTAAACAAAATCTAACAAAAGATATGAAATCAATTTCAGTATAAGCTATCAAAATGTATCTAATAAGCTAAGAAAATAATGAAATAGAAATGATATTATATAAATTATTTAACTCAGAAGAACAAGATCCTAAATCACAAACTATTTTTAAAAGAAGAGAATGCTACTTGGTTAGAGGGAATATTATACTTAAAAACATGAGATTAAAAGTAATTATTTTTTTATAAATACTTACATAATTTATATAGATAATAATAATGATATTTTAATATTTAGATAGCAGTTGCAACCTCAACTCACTTAACTATTAACAACTCAACCTCGGAATCAAATAAATATCTTTTAAAAGTTTTTTTAGTAAGAACTCTACAGAGCAAATTAATTGCAATTGAAAATACAGAAAATTCATTCTTTGAAATATTCGTAAATAATTATACTATTACTAATTAAAACTATAATTATATAATCTATATAGTTTTTCCGCATACTAATCTATGATTTGAATATCTCAAAACTACTATATATTCACAGAACTTTACTATTTTTGTAATTAGTTAGATAGAAGTCATCGACAATAAATTTTATGTTAATACAAAAGATATTAACTATATAGAACTAAAAAAAAAATAATTATAGATCTCTTCATATAGATCACTCCGCTAAAATAGAGCTAAACTTCAAAAATTTTCTCACAGCCTTTTCTCAAAACTCTACTAATTAAAGTTACCTTTGGCTATTAAGTAAAGTTGTTCAGCTCACTATTACGAATATAAAAATATAAATTTTATTTTAAATAAATTCTTCTCTAATAAGAAAAATATAAAAGAAGGGGAAAACAATAAAAACTACTTTTTTTTACAGTTATACAAAAACCAACAGGCTAACACTAGCAGTTCTTCTAATAAAAGTCCTTCTGCTCTAAGCACTCTTAGCCAAAATCACAAAGTTTTTACTCTTGCAACCCAATCTAGCCTTACAATCACAAACAAAAAAATGAGCTCCAAAAGTTCATCTTTAGTCTTTAGTTATCTGTTTAGCTCTAAGAAATCTAATCAAACCACCTAACAGACTACTGCACAAGTATCTGCTACTATCAATGAACAAGATTATTCTAAAAATCTTTATGATATTTATATTACAGACTGGAAAAAATCTAGCTTCTCTATTTACTTCACTACTCCCCAATTTGCAAACAAATTCATCTTCTCTATTAAATTTTTCAAAAATAGCAAGATCACAAATATGGTTACATACCTAACACAATAGATCTGCAAATACAAAAATCTAAATCAATTAATTATTTTTGATCTTACTAAGTACAAAGAAGACACTGTATACATTAACACCAAAAGTCTAAAAAATACAAAGACTTGTGATCTAAATCCTACTGTACTTGCATATGAAACAATACACAAAGCCTACAACAGATCCAAAGTCCCAAAAGATACTCACTGTATTCTATACAATATAGTTACAGAGCTTGAAACAGATGAGGAAGCAAGTGAAACTAATGAGACTAATACAGATAGTAAAACCTTACTACAAACAACTATTACAGTAATACAATCCAAAGCTACTATACTAGCCACATATAGCTAAGCTACTCAAGCTATAATTGAAGATGAAGTCTATACTCCTCTTACTAGACCCAAAACACTAATTCAGCAAATTTCTCAACTACTTTTCTACTTTAAACAAACTCACAACATCTTACTTTCCCTAACTACTTCTTTCTCTAAAAAGCAAAATCATATTCTATCCCTTACAAGCACTTTATCTCTAATCTAACACAATACCAATATAATATATACTAAAACAGATAATACTAACAATACTATTACTAGCTCATCTCAAATGATTGTATTATCTATATCTCCAATACCTCCTAATATAGAGCTTAATACAGATTATATAACTAACAACAAGAAATTATATAGTAAAATTACTAGCAAACTCTATACATCTAACCTCTTCGATAAATTTTATATCTCAGAACAAGGACATGCATAGTCTAATATAATCTAACAAAAACTTCTAAACTTGAACAAAGAAAATTTTAATACTAACAAGTGGACTAAGAACAAAGTACTAGAAGCTGTCTCTGATCCTTCTGCTCTCCACAACCTAGTTATTTACAAGCTCAATACACAAGCTACTAACTATCCAATTCCCTTAGCAATTAACTTAAAATTCACTCAACAAGATATTAACTTCTTTACTACTTTTACTACTAACAAAAATACTATACTAGCTCACTAAACAGAATAAACTCTCTTTTTTAATATGCTATTCTCAACTACAAAACCTCTAACAATATCACTATTATAGACAAGAAAACTCAAGCAACAATTCAAAATATGCTCAAACAAAATCTAGCCATACAGCTTTTTACTAATACAAATATAACTAGCTAAATATTTGCAAAAACCTTTACCTTATTCTGCTATTATCAAGGCTTTATAGGTATAAAGAAGCCTGAAAACCTTGACCTTTTTAAGAAAGCAATAAATGAAGTATACAATATAACTCTACAACTCTTACCAGCTGACTCATAATCTATTTTTGAATATATCTAAGAAATTCTTCTATTTACCTTATTTATTAAGCAGAGATCAGCTATACTTGGAGTAGTAAACACTCTATGAAAACTATATAGTTTTAGCCTACTCCTATCTTTATATTTTGTTACCCTTTTACCATTGCTACAAGATTCTACTAACCTAACTCCTGAACTGCAAACTCTCTTCTCCATAACCTCACACAAACAACTATTACACCTCTCATATTATAAGAGAAAACTAGCAGACTATTACTTTTTCAATTAAATTTCTTCAACTTACCTTGTTCTACTACCTCCAAAAATACCTTTACCAACAACTTATTAAGAACTCAATACCAAAGTATGCAGTCTATTTCCATATGACAAAAATACTGTGAATATTCTACTCAAACAAGTTGTAGTACAATTACATGAATTTTATAGCTTCAAACTTATTCCAAATAATTTCTTTGTCTCTAAACCACTACTACCAACTGAGGCTGAACTTATCAAAACTCAGAATCATTATACTTATCCAATAACAGATGACACAATTGCTAAGCAATTTATTCAAGAAATTTTCTCTTTTTATTACTTCAGATTCTCTCTTTCTTAAACTATACTTGATGCAAATTCTACTAACAAACTATCCTTACCTAATCAGAATATTGTTATTATGCAACTTAATATTTAGCTTCCAATTACAACTATACAGCAACTTATTTCTATATTTAAACTACTACAACAGATATATTACTTTACAAAACTACCTGAAAGCTGAATTAATATTACCTCTACTTTTAAAGACAAAAAATATCTAGCAACTAGGATAGTACACTACTTCTAACACCTCTTTTTCAAGTACCAGAGAATATAGAAGATCTCTAAACCTTTTTAGATTAGCAAAACATTACACTAGATATCCCTATTATTTCTCAAGCAAGAGTTACATCTACTCTCTAATTACTTCAAACATACTTTACAATTCATCAAATACCCCTATATCTACTTCAACTTCTTCCTTTATCTATCTCTAGCTAGGACATTTTTAATATTTCAAACTCCTACTCAAGATGAATAACTCATAC